CTGGAGGGGACAATATGCAATAAGGTTTGATGAAGAACATGTACATATAGTAAAAAGACAAAAACTAAGAAAAACTTCACGGCGAGTCCTAGATTGAGAGGTGACTTGCAAACACAGATACCGTTCTTGCCAAAACATTGGCTCCCTCGTCTCCCCTCACCCTTCCACTATCTGCTACTCAGGGGAATACTGCCTGACAATCCCACTGCCAAAACCTAATACTTCACAAGATCCAATGCACAGAGCACCTTCGGACGTCCATTCACCGGCGGATCCCGCCGCCGGACTCGGGAGAGTGGGACACGCCCCCTCGGATCCCCATCCCTCGGGTAGTGGGGCTCACGCTCCACACCTCCTCCACACCCCATCCTCCGCGCCATAGCTCCGCCCTCAGCTCGCGAAGGACCCCAGACGCGGGTCAGTCTCCTCAGAACAGCACGCTCGTGTCCACCTCCTCCACCTCCAATTCAATTCACTGAGGCTAGGACAGCGCCGTCCGACCTACTCTAGGCAGTGACCTCACCTCTCTTCCAAGAGCTCAGTGGGGACACCACCTCCACCCTCTCAGAAATGAACTCGGCCAAGCTGGAGCGAAACAAGGCCGCCCTCACGGTCACGGCTACCACAAGCACCAGGGCCAAGGGAGCCGCCATGATAACTGAGGCGGGCGCGCAGGCGGGGAGGGCAAAGGCAATGCGGAAGAGCCTCAAGACTTGCGCGCCACACTGTAGTACCTCCGTCGAGCCATCGCCGCGGCTGCTGCGGGAGCTCGCCGGCTTGGAGACTACCACTCCCAGGAAGCTTTGCGGCGAGACGACGGAAAGCGGGATGTGTCAGACTTATAGCAAAGGTTTGGACTACGTTTCTACTCACGCATGAGAACTCAAAAATATTGTGCTTATTTTACTGAGCTCGTAAGCAAACTTTAAAGCAGTAATTTCTCTCGTGTGCGTATTTTTAATGTTAAAATGTTTACCTTCATATATTTAAAGAGTACGACGTGTGTATTTCTTGAACACCAATCATCCTCCGGGCACCCTGTTCTGAGGAAAACACTTTGGAGTGGTTAATTATTAGCCCTGCGACCTTCAGCAAGTTATTTAACCGAGAGAAATCAGAGAAGGAACTTGAAGCTAACACCGTGAAAGAACGCGGCCTTTACAGACTTTCTCTTCTGCTCTTGCTCAACCAGCTTTCTTGCACATCGGTACACCTGCCCAGGGATGATGCCCCCTGGGTCCTCTCACATCACTCAGTTTCAAAATCAAGAAAATTTCTCACAGATCAACCCGATGGAGGCGTTTCTTCAACTGAGGTTTCCTACTTCCAAATGACCCTGAGGTTGTGCGAAGAGCTACTATGGCAAAAATACTGTGTAATGATGCACTTCTGCTTTTCTCGGTTCAGGTTGGTTGCTTGAAATCCCTCCAGGTGGGAGTGTTTATAGCTGAGAAATCGGCCAACACCACAAGTCAGGGGTTTGGAGAGCCGGTTGGTAAGCACTGACAGCACACCACTTCATTAGTTAATGTATGAAAAATACTAAGGTGAGTACTTAAAGATTAGCTGCAATAACTAACTATACAAGGACATTTTAGATCCTTGAAAAAATGAAACAGTGCACCAGTAGAATAACCAAGATTAACAAAAATATTGAATATTTCAAAATAGGTAGCAGAGTCTTTTAGGTGTTCCTAACACAAGTAATGTCTGAAGTCATGTGCGGTTACCCTATATTGTTACTATACATTGTATACAAGTTGTCATACTTTATCCCATAAATATGTAAGCTGTCTTAGCTAAAGGTTAAAAATAAAAAACATATTTTAAAAAAAGAAAAAGTGCATGATTGAAAATAACCATGGATGAAGGAATGGTGGTCACAGGACAAGCTGGAAAGGGGAGACTGTGGGACAAGTTGACATTTTAAATGAGACCTACAGAGTGAGAAACTATTCATAGCTTCCAGAAAACAGGGCTGAGGAGATGGCTCAGTCGTTAAAGGCTAGACTCACAACCTAAAAGAGGCTCAGCAGAGAAACAAGTATGGCCCAAGGGAAGAGAACAGTATTTGTTATGGAAAAAAGAAACACAGGAGAGGCAAGCAGGGGCCTCTAGGCTGAAGTTAACAATTTGGAGAGCATTCAAAGTACAAACTATGTGCCAATGAAAAGCTTATATCTTTTTATTTTCTGTTATCTTGGTTTCTCGAGACTGAGACTCATGCAGCCTAGGCATGACTTGGTTCCTTGTATCTGAAGATGTCCTTGAAAACATGGCTCTACCGTCTCTGCCTCCCTAGTGCTGAGATTACAGGCTTGTGCCACCACACTGGGCCTTTTTTGTTTGTAGTTTTGTGTTTTGAGATGGGGTCTTGCCAACTACCCCCTGGCTGACCTAGCAATCTCTATATTTAAATCGAGGTGCCTACATATCTGCAGCAATCCTCTTTTTGAGGTTTTTGTTTTGTTTGTGTTGGTGGCAGAGGGGAGGCTATGAAGTACATGTGGAGGTCAGAGGCTGCCTCCCAAGCGCTGGGACCAGGAACATGCCCGACTACATGCAGCTTCCGCTGGAGAATTTTGAAGAGAGTGGTGTTAGATGTTTTCATCTGTGGACTTTTTGAGAGATAGGGGTGTTTCACTTGATGCTAGGGATGAAACTCAGGGCCCTGGAGCATGCTAAACACATGCACTGCAACTAAACTGACTCACTGTCCAGGTGCACATTTCTAAGAGATCACCACGTTCCCCCGGCTGGGGGGGGTGTCAGACTATAACGTGGTGACAACACTGTACCCTCTACTTTGGGGAAACTCGAAGAGTTGGTTGAAGAGATACAAATCTTAAGAATTACCTAAGTCAGGCTGGAGAGATGACTCAGTGGTTGAGAGCACAGAAAGCTCTTGCAGAGAATCCGAGTTCAGCTCCCAGCACCGCATGGCTCGCATGTGACTGGAGCTCCAGCGTCAGGGGATGCCATGGCTCTGTGTACGCATCCACACAGAGACAGTAACACACACCCAGAATTAAGAAGAAAACAAATATCCGGGCAATGCTGGTACACACCTTTAGTCCCAGCACTCAGGAGGCAGAGGCAGTCAGATCTCTGAGTTCGAGGCCAGCCCGGTCTACAGTGCAAATCCCAGGACAGCCAGGGCTACACAGAAGAAACCCTGTCTAAATAAATAGCAAGCCAAATCTTTTTTTTTTTTCTGGTGGTGGGGGGTGAGTTCAACACAGGGTTTCTCTGTGTAACAGCCATGGCTTTCCTGAAACTCACTTTATAGACCAGGCTTCCCTCAAACTCATAGAGATCTGCCTACTTCTGCCTGTCAAGTGCTGGGATTAAAGCATGCACCACCAGGCCCAGCAAAACAAATCTGTCAAAAACTAACACAAGTCATAAACAGTAGATGAGAGGGAGATCAGGATGTTAGGAGAATGTAAAAGTCAGCTCCGGCTCATTTCTGAAAAGCAGAGAATAATGAGATCATAAAAGAGTAGAGGACACTCACCTTTGAATCCAGGCACTATGACACACTCTTTGACATGAGTTTAGTCAGTCTGTACATTTTTCTTCCTAAAAATACAGATGTTGGTATATGCATATTGCATTATGAAAAGTGGAAGCTAAAGTATCATCAACCCTTGGTAAAGACTGAAAAGATTATAATAGTGAAATGCTTAGCACATATCCAGACACACACGCAGGCAAAACACCCACATATGTAAAATAATAAAAATTTAAGATATTTGTTAAAAGAGGGTGTTTCCAATACAACAGCTGTCTGATGTGTGTCTGTTGCACCACATACATGACTTCCTGCAGAGGCCAGAACATGATGTTGGGTCCCCTGGGAATGGGGTTCCACCCTGTTGAGTTGCCATGTAGGTACTGGGAGTTAAACCTGGGAGAGCAGCCTGCTCTTACCTGCTGAGACATCTCTGTGGCTCCTCGTTACATCATTTTAATAATAATGTGAAAGTTCTTATAGTAAAGATTGCCTCTGGGAAAAACTATGACCAGCCATTATGAAAGGAAGTAAGATCCAAACTAATGGTTCTGAAACACACTTATCTCACCATTCTTTTTTAAAGGCTTACAAGAACTAAAACTCAGAAGAAAACAAAAGTAGATCTTCGTGACCCCTAATTAAACATAGGTTTCTCTACTATAACACCAAATACATGGACAGGAAAAGAAGAAATAAGTTGGACTCTTTCTGGGCTCTTCCTGGGGAGATGAGAACAAATGTCTGTTTATCCATGAGAGAGCATCTACGACAGAAGAAACAGCTCCACCCACGTCTAGCTTGATGAACCGATGAATTCACAGGGCTTACTGAGAGGCACAGGCACAACCCAGAACAGCTGCACCACCATAGAGCCCCACTCAGCATGGCAGAACACCCCTTCAGTTAACCTTCACCCTCCATGCATCTGGGGAAGGGCTGGGAGAGAGGGAGGGAGGGACTGGAATCTCAGGTTAGTCTTTTATGAGGGACTAGCCACATTCTTGACCTCAGGGGTCGCCTGTGAATGACACAGCTGCTCAGATTAGTAGCTATTTTATGCCCTGTGGACAGTGTTCCATAACAGACTTCATCCCAATTAAAAACAGATACCACCAAAAAATAAAGACAGCCTAAGGAGGAGAAAATATCTACAAACCATGGATCAGAATTTATCCAAAACATGTAAGGAAAAAGTATTTATTTTTATTTTTGTGTATGTGTCTGTGTGAACGTAGCTACATATGAGTGCTTTTGCCCACAAAAGCAAGAAGACAGCCCTGGATCCCCTGGCACTAGAGTTACAGGCAGTTGTGGGCTGCCCGATATGGGTGCTGGGAACCAAACTTGGGTCCTTTGGAAGAGCAACAGGTGCTCTGAACTGCTAAACCATCTTCTCCAGCCCCTTAATTTTTTACATTTATTTCTTTTGAGGGGGGAGGGTCATTCGTATACCATGGCATCCATGTAGAGGTCAAAGGACTTCTGGGAGTCACTTCTCTTCCACCATGCGAGCAAGAGAATGGCAGGGGACGCCATTACCCACGGGGCCATCTCACTGGCCTGAGAATATAGAAAGAATTCTCACAACTCAATTATGAAAAGACAAACTCTTTCTTTTTTTCCCCCAACCCCGCGTTTATTCCGTTTCTTCCACCTACCAGCAGCCCCTTGTATGAAAGTCCACCCTGGGCTGACCGCTGTGGATCTGGGCAGTCCTTCAGACATAAGGCAAGCTGTCGGGCCACAACTGCTCACACAGAACGAGGGACCTCTGGGCCCTGCTGGGTCTTAGCTGAATGGGAGACCCTTTGGTCTGGCTGCCTCTACCCATTCTCGAATGAGGGTAGCCTCCAGATTCCGCACCTCCACAACAGATGGGGGATCTCCTGGGTTAGATGCTCTGAGGTCTAGGTGATGTGCTCCGCCATGGATCCGGACAGCAATGACTGATGCACTCACCTTGCTCCGGATCCCACCTCTTGCCCAGGGGTCCAGGTCACCGTTGGAGAAAATGATGTTGCTGGCAGTTTTAAGGTCGCCACCCCAGAAGCTGGTCTGCAGCCAGCCTGACCGGGGCCACACACCCCATGTAGCCAGGCAGTATTGCTGGCGGAGTTCATCAGAGAACGGGAGTTCAGGGAACATGTCAGTCACATTGTTGCTGTCAAAGGTCAGATTGATCTCCGTACAGGCCTGGTAGTCCCAGGCCTTGGCCTTAGAGCCAATGCCGCAGCCAGTGGGGTCAGCGCAGCTTTTGAACAGGCGGTAGATGTCGTAACAGAGCTCCGTGCCAGAGGAGTTGTAGACGAGCCCCGCCAGAGCTCGCAGACCCTTGATCCTCTGGCCCGCACTCAGCAGCAGTTCGCAGCCCGCCCTTACAGGGTTGGCAGGAAGGTGACCTGCGGAGTCGGTAGGGTATGGGTAGTCCATCATGGCGAGCACAGTAAATGCATTCCGGGCAAACTTATAGAGCTGAGTCAGGTCCTTTGGGCTGGAAGGTGGCTGGCAGGTACCAAAATTCTGGCTGATGGTGTCGTAGGCTCCTTGGAGGAACAGGTCTTTGATTTGGCGGAAGGCGTCCCGCACAGCCTGGGCGCACTTGGGACTCTGGCGGTAGAAGTCGGCTGTGACGTCTTGGAAGAACTGGTAGGAGTTGCCAAGACCCGCAACAGCTAGGACAGGAGCGCTGGCTGCCAGGGCCCCAGCCACCAGGTGGGGATACTTCATCCTCATGTAGGCGCTCAGCATCCCCCCATAACTTCCTCCAAAGGTTATGATGGGGGCATCCGGGACCCCGAGATCCTGCCGCAGGGCCTGGAGCAGCACAGCAAAGTCCGCCAGTGCCTGCTCCACAGTCAGCAGCTGTGTAAATCCCCGCCGTGTGGACTGCACACCGAATGGAAGCGATTTCCCATAGTACCGGTGCTCGGCAAAGACAAGCAGGGCTTTCTGCTGGGCTGCCAGTTCCACCACGAAGCCCGAGGTGTTAGCAAAGGACCAGATATCCCCCTCATTCCCTGTGTAGAAGAAAATGGGACCCTGGCCTATCTTCCAGAACCTATCTGACACCAGAAACCGCTGGTTGAAGGTTTTGTTGCCGAAACTCTCGAAGTTGAAATGGTCCATGTATTGCTCAAAATAGTTTTCCCGAAAGCCAGGGTCCAGAAATCTGTAAGCCCTGGCCTGGAGGGTGCACAGCCCCAGTGCCAGCAGCAGGACCAGGACCCAGGAGGGGCCCGCATGGTCCACAGAGTGGAAGCTCATGCCTGATTCTGACAAATTCTTAAATGAACCAAGGGTTTCGGCAGACACCGCAGCAGAGAAGACACACAGATGACCGATGAACCCCTGAGAAGACGCTCAGCCTCACTGGTTACTGGGTATACTTGCTGGGGTGGCTGAAGGAAAAACAAACAAACAAAATAATACCTTCTGGCGAGACAAATGCCTGTATGCGCCTCACGTGGAAACCTAAAATGCAGCCACTTTAAAAAACAGTTCGGCAGTTCCACAAAATGTTAAGTGTGAGATGGGCATCCGTGTAGTTCAGGGGTGTGTAGCTCCTGCTGTGCATCTGTGAGAAGTAACAAAGAATGTCCACACTTGTGTGGGAAATTACTCGTAAAACCAAAGCAGAAATACTGGTAAATTGATAAACAAAAGGTCCTAGATCTATACAATGGAGCACAGCTGAGCAGCAACAACAAAAATAATAATAACGAAGTGCTGACAGTTGCCACAACATTCAAAAGCCTTGAAAATATTCTGCTACATGAAATAAACCTGACCACAAAACCATTTGTTTTATATAATTCCATTTATATGACATGTTCAGAATGGGCATTGTACAGAAGAAAGGTTAAGACTTGGGGTGGCTTAGAGAGGAGGAAAGGGTATAATTTCTTTTGTTCTCCTCCCTCTTATGGTACTGGGGAGCAAACCAAGAGCTGTCCTGTCACGCTGAGCAAACACTCTGCCACTGAGCTGGATGCCAGCATTAGTTTTCTTCTTCCTTCTCTCTTCTTCCTCTTCCTCCACTTCTTCCTCTTCCTCCTTTTCTTCTTCCTTTTTGTCCTCCTCCTTCCCCCCCCAACTCCTTCTCTGTCTCATTCTATTCCCCCCTCCCCTTTTTTAGGCCACTCTGGCCTCAGAGTCACTGTTCAGCCAAAGAGGGCTTGAACTTTCAATCCTTCTGCCAACAGCGCCTAAGTGCTGGGAGTACAGGTGTGAGCTACCATGCCCAGTTTACACTGTGCTGGAATGGAAGCCAGGACTTCATGCTAAGTGCAGTTTATCAAATGAGCCATGTTCCTAGTCTCCTTGCCTTCTTTTACACTGTGTGTGTGTGTGTACGCGCACGCACGCACGCACGTTTCTTGCTGTATACCCCTTATGAACTGGTATTCACCATGTGGTTCCAACCAGCCTACAACTTGCAGCAATCAGCCTGCTTCAGCCTCCTGAATTTGAGATTACAGCCATAGGATACCATGACAGTTACTTTTTATTTTGAAACAAATTTCCCAGGCTGGCCTTGAACTCTCAACCCTCCTGCCTCAGTCTTCCCAGAAGCTGGGACTACAGACCTTTACCACCAGGTAAGGTAGTACAGCTTCTTTGTGAAGTAACCAAAATGTTCTAAAATTAGACTGTAGTGATGGCTATACTGGTCTTCGAATAGTCTGAAAACCACTGAGGTGAACCAGTTCTTTTCCTCTGTTGTGTGGGTCCCAGGTATTAAACTCATGGTTAGGCTTGGTGCCAGGCCCGTGCCTGCTGAGCCATCTCAGAATGTTTTTTTTTTTTTATTATTGTAAACTCCTCCAGTCTTCTCTAAAAATTATTCACTACAGTAAACTGGATCCCTTATTTCTCCAGGAAATTCTGATATTGCAGACTCAAAAATCCATACCTTAAAAAAAACACCAACCTGAAGGCATACACACCCAGTAGCCTATGTAACAAAAGGACAAAAAGAAGAATAAATTAGCAAACAGTGCTTACAACGGACCATGTACTGTAAGTGTTCTATATGTATGTACACTGTATAGCTGCTTTTGGGTCCCCATCACTAAATGAGGAAACTAAGACATAAAAGACTTGGTAATTTGCCCAAAGTCACGTGGCAGGTGGCACAACCAGGATGTTCATGCACGTTCTATTGTGGCTAGCTAGTTGCTCTGCCTGAGAAAATGAGAGGAATTTGGTTGCCTTGGGTTGAGGCAGGTCAGGTTGTTTTGTAGTTGTATCTGGAAAGGGAGGGTGCTTAACAGGAAGTGACTCCTCTCCCAAGAAACTGAACATTCCAGATGATAGGTGAGCCACCTAGAGAGCAAGACACCAAGGCTCTGAAACACCAAGTAAAGATCATGAAGCCACATGCCTGGATTGGTTTTTATTTACTATTTATTGAGCACCAGTCACTGCTAGACACTGCTAGGCGTGATGGAGATAAGATCCTCCTAATACATTTTGTGGATTTAAAAGAGCAAACTGATTCTGTTCATCTTCAACATTAAAAAAAAAAAAAAAAAAAAGCCGTTTGGGAGCACATGGTATTAAAGAATAGACTGGGGAGCCAGACTCAGAAAAATCAGGATTCATGTCGGCAACAGCACTGGCCCCTGTTAGCAGAACTATCTAGATGGTCAACTTTTCCATCACTGGATAAGAAAACTTGAATTGTTACTTGACTTATTCACCACTAGAATGAAAAAACTTGTGCCCCTTGTTCAGGAGTCACTGTTCTTAGCAACAGTGGGGTTGAGTGGGTTCAGGTTCCATACCTGCCTCTTGGCTATGTACATGGCAGCAAGAAAAAAGGATCTGTGAGGAGTTTCCCACCCTCGCCCTGGAACAGCACATTCTGAGAGCGGCTGGGTAGAGTCAGTTCACTGAAGATAAATGATGTCTGATGCCCCATTGGCAGTGGGGCAAACACTAATGATTGTGGTATGAAAGAGAGGCACAACCTAGGAAGACTGGAGTCTACCAGGAAATGCTACTAAATAAACATGTAAGCAGACAGAATAATTAGGTGACAGAATAATTAGGTTTAGTGATTAGACTTCGGTGGCTACAGACCGGGAACAGGGATAGGGAAAGATGGAAGATCTGGTTTACAGGTTGGCCAGGCAGAGAGGTAATGGCTCAGTTGGGTCTACAGGATTAGGACTAAAGTGTTGGAAGCGGTGTGTGTGGGGAGGAGAAGACTGAAGTCACCGTATGAGTTTGCAACCGGGGATTGGAGTATGGGATTGGAGAGTGTTTGAATTGATTGGAGTGATGGAAGCAAGAAGAGAAACTAGAGAAGCAGGTAAGAGTCAGGGGGCCTTTGGGGACCATGATGCTAAGTTGAATTCTTAACCCAGAACGAACAGGAAATCCACTGACGAGTTTCAAATAGAGTTAGAACACCATCACAAATTAGATTTTTTTTTAAACAAGGTCTCATGTAGTCTTGGCTGCCTCAAACCCAGATATCCTAGGACTGGAGCTATAGAGATTTGTGAGCTGCTATGTGGATGCTAGGGACCAAATCTAGGCCCTCTGGAACAAAAGCCAAGGCTCTCGACTGAAGAGCCATCACTCCAGCCTCTATATTAAAAAAAAAAAAATTTAGACACAGCAGGCATAGTGGCACACTCAGTACTCAGGGAGGCAGAAACAGGCAGATCACTGTGAGTTCAAGGTCAGCCTGGTCTACAGAGTGAGTCCAGGACAGCCAGGGCTACACAAAGAAACCCTGTCTTAGGAACAAAGAAAAAAGTTTAAACACAACTAGAAACTTTGTCTTTCCAACTGCCTGATACCCAGCCACCATTATAAGTGAGAGAACAACCAGCTAGGAGACAGTGTTCATGACATTGCAACCACTGACAATTTTATTGGGAAAATAAGACCAATATACAAATGAGGTCTAAAACCCACATAGAGCTACACATGTACTCTACCCCCAGGAAGCAATCGTGCCTAGCCAGGCATTACAGAAAGGTAAATAAAAATTTACATGAAAACATGACATTTGAAGACCACTTTTACTAATGGCAAAGGCAGCTTTGACAAATTAACAGTGCCTGCTGGCAAGGTGGCTCCATGTCTGTAATCCCAGAACTTGGGAGATGAAAGTAAGGAAGATCATCCTGGATCACACATAGAGAGTTTGTCTCAAAACAATAAAAAATTTATAACTCCTTGAATTATGCAAAGAAATCAACCCAGACTTTCCATATATGCCTGAATGAAAAGGAAAAAAAAAACACTCAAGAAATTATAAAAAAAAAAAAAAAAACATTAGTAACAAATTATTGTCCCAGGTACTCTGGAGGCTGAGGCAGGGAGTTTGCTGGGTTGTAAGGTCAAGCCCACCACGACAGAAGTTAGGGTCGCTTGAAGGAAATAGTGAGCACGATTTTTCAACAGGAAGCAGTGAACTGTAAGAACTTGCAAATAAACAGTACAAATGATAACACAGCAGGGAGGGGACTGTGGGAAGAGGCACCGAGTGGGGGAAGATAATCAAAGAGATCCTGGAGCTTGAAGAGAAAGGAGCGACCTGATGTAGTCTCGGGTATGTGTTGGGGAACTAGAGCCCAGAGAGGAACAGTGCCAGGCTCAGGAACACAAAGCAGATCAGTGGCAGCACAAGGCCCATATACCAGCCTCCTGTTCCTGGGCCAGGGTCCCTGGCGAGGCTCACTAGAAGGCTCACAACTCCCAACCCAAATGTTATAAGTGTCCCCCTCCCCCCAATAAAAGAAAAAGAAGGGAGGATCTGGATGTTCAGGCTTATGTAATTCCCTAGGTCAGATTTCAGAGACCACACCGCTACCAATTTCCTTCCTACTCTGTACCCGAAAGTGCCTAAAATTACCAAAGTTACCCTGTTAGCTAAACAATACTAAGTAACATGTCACTATGCCTAAAGCCCAAAGCTGTAGCTTCATTCCTTACTCCCAAGCCTCCTCCATCGGAACCTCTGTCCCTCCCTACGAGCAACCTCCGTGACTATGAACCCAGGCTCTTTGTGTTCTTGCCCCAAACATACACACCCTTCTCTGCTCTGGGAAGGAAGTACATATTCACTGTCTTTGTTTGTTTGTTTGGTATCCAGTCCCCTGGTTTCTCTTCCTAGCAAGACCTTGAATTCCTCAGCCCTCGTTCCAGAAACAGGACTTAAATGATTTAAACTAACAAATACATGCTAAGCCCCCACCATCCTGACTGGCTGAGGGGATGAGCATGTGACCCAAATCGGGGCATTCAGAGCCAACAAAACTCAGTTCTGAGAGTGTGGATGAGCCATTTGGGAAAATGGATTTACTCTTTTTCCTCTGGGTTTGAGAAGGCAACCAAACCCCAGAGCAGCTGGCAACCTCTCATCAAGTGTATCCAAGCAGGTAAGACAAGGCCAAAGTCTGAATGGTTCTAGTAAGACACAGTGAGCCATCTATACAGCTAAGCAGCTTGTGATTTGCATGGACAGCAAGAACGTGGCCCCTGTCTTATACACCAAAAGGGTGACACCGAGGCACTAAGAGTTAAATGAGTGCACTGTGGGTTAGCGGGGAGGTGCTCTGTTACCTGGGAGCCAATTTGACATGGCAGCTAAGCGACACATTCTCAGCCACATTCTGAAAACAGGGTGGGCAGAAAATGCCGGAGAGATGACCCAGCTGTTACGAGTACTTCCTGGTGTTCCAAAGGACCAGACTTTGGTTCCCAGCACCGGTCAGGCAGCTCACAACTGCCTGTAACTCCAACTCTGGAGATCTAATAACTAATACCCC